CTGGATGGGATGAAACCTTTGTCATCACATGGCAGAAGGGCAAAGAGCACCAATACTGATCCCCTCCAGCCCTTTTATAAGGCACTAATCCATTCATGAGGGTAGAGCCTCATGACTTAATCGCTTCCCAAAAGGCCCCATCTCTTAATACCAACACAATGAGTGTTAAAGTTTCAACATGAATTTTGGAGGGGACACATTCAAACCATAGTACCTGGCCCGCTAAGTTACTGTACTCCAGCCAAATGATCCGTTTCTTGGTTTTTCCATCATGGCAAGTTTAATAACACCCCAGGGCCTTTACATTTGCTATTCTTTCTGCCTGGAGCATTTTTGGCCCTTTATAATATCAGTTCAAACATCATTTTCTCAGAGAGGCTTTCCCTGACTGTACTATTTAAAGTTGCTTCCTCCTCAGTCATGGTGTCATCGCCCTATATTGTCTTCACTATATGAAATAACTTTGTTTATTGTTTGTCATCCACTAGATTGTAAGCTCTATGAAAGGAAAGGGATCCTACCTATTTTTGTTTTGCTATAGGCAGAGCTCCTAGATTAGTGCCTGGAACAGAATAACTGTATAGTAAATATTGGATTGAGTCCTGGTATTAAACACTAGTAGCTAATGTCGGTCATATGTAATAGTACCGTCATGCCTCACTTAATGATGGAATGTTTTGAGAACTGCATTGTTAGGTGATTTTGTCATGTGAAAATCAGAGAGTGTATTTACACAAACCTAGATACCTACTGCACACCTAGACTATATGGTATACCCTTTAAGTCTTATGAGACCACCATCATATATGTGGTTTGTTGACTGAAATGTCATTATGCGGTGCATGATGGTATTTGTAGTTTTGGGGGATTATTCCAGAAAATCTCAGAATATACTCTTGCACTCAACTGTTTAAAAATATGATGACATATATTAAACTATTACTTGTAGCATCTTGATATGCTCAAAGCTGCTCCTAGGTTGCTTCATGTGGAAGGCCCTAATGTGTTAAAAAACCTAGGTCATCCTTAAGAGGATCTTCTAACCAAAGTTGGAAGTTAAAATTTTACTTATTCTTTTTGCATCATTAAGTCTCTTACTTGTAACCTGGGAGATTGACCTTTATTCAAGTAATTGGAAAATGAACAAGAACATGATATAGTGAAGCGTTTACTCAGACTTTCTCTAAGTTAATATTATTTCAGAATTGAAGAGATATGTGACAATATATTTATAGACTATTTTTAGACCTTATTTCGCTCAATAATCTCCATCTTAAAAATTATGAGTTTATGTCACGTTTCCTCTGTGCAAAACCTTGCGCTAGTTCCTTTATGAAGTAGCTTTTACTATAGTGCAAGATATGTGCAGGAACCTGGACTTAGATTGTAACAATATGTTTTCTTTCCTTTTTAGGTATTGAGATTTGCTTTGAACTTTATAATCCTCGAATCCAGGAGATCCAAGTGGTCAAATTAGAGAAACGGCTGGATGATAGCTTGCTATATTTACGAGATGCTCTTCCTGAATATAGCACTTTTGATGTGAATATGAAGCCAGTAGCACAAGAGCCTAGCCAAGAAGTTCCTGTTAATAAGGTATAGATTGTACATTTGGAACTGGAAGTTCAAGTGTAAAATAAGAATCATTTTAATGAAAACTTTAGAAAAATTTTTGCTATGTCTATCAATCTAATTATTCCTTTTTAAAATATCTTTCTTAGCTGAAAGTAAAAATGAAGCCCAAGCCCTGGTCCAAACGCTGGGAACGTCCAAATTTTAATCTTAAAGGAATCAGATTTGATCTTTGTTTAACTGAAGAACAAATGAAAGAAGCTCAGAAGTGGAGTAAGCCTTGGCTTGAGTTTGATATGATGAGGGAATATGATACTTCAAAAATTGAAGCTGCAATATGGGATGAAATTGAAGCATCGAAAAAGTCCTGAGAATGAATTTGATTATTTGCAGAGGATATATTGACTCTCAGAGGATTTATTTTGAGGCCAATTTAATTTCATTTATAAGAACATAATCATTAAATGAATAAATATTCATTGTTTTATTAGTACTTGTAGTGGATTGAATTATGTCTTCCCAGAAATCCCTGAAGCTTGAATTGTGTCCCCCAAGTTTTATGTATTAAAAGCTTAGCCCCCACTGTGACTGTTAAGAGGGTGGGAAATCCTATTACGGTAATTGAAAGGTGGAGCCTTGAAGGGGTGATTGGATGGTAGGACCATGCAGTAGTGAGTGGATTAAAAATGATGGACAGGGGTGTGGTTCTGAGGGCTTTAAAAGAAGAGAGTCTGTCTGGCCCTCTCTCTGCTCTCTCTGCTTCCACCATCTTGCAATGTGAGACTGCTGGGTCACTGTTGCAGCTACCAGATGGACTTTGGACTTCTCAGTCTCAGAAACTATAAGCAATAAATTTCATTTTCTTTATAAATCACCCAGTCTCAGATATTCTGAGATACAAAAAAGGACTAATACAGTACTTTAAAAAATAAAATTAGTATACCAGTTTATTACTTTGGGAAGAGAAATATACATGCTAAATGGCCTCATGTCCTTTCCCTTACAGGAGGTAAAGCTACTATATGAATCAAAGTGTCATCAGAATGCTCTGTGAGCATGGAATCTGAGCAAGGGGAGTGGGTGAGATGATTTTTGTCTTAATAGTGAAATAAATCATAAGTATAGAACAATGCATGATTTAAAGAATAATAAAGTGATCATTCATGCACCCACCACCATGTTAAGAAATAGAACATTAAATAAGATCTAAGAAGACTCCTGTTTATAGTTGTATCCCTTCTGTCTCCCAGATGCAGATTCTATCCTTTATGTTAATCATTCCTTTGCATTTTTTTTTTTTTAGTTTATTACCTACATATATATTCTTAAACAATATATTTACTTTTGAAAAACTATATAAAAATATGAAAGGGCAGTATTGCCATTGTTACATGAAGGCTTCAAGGAGAACATGACAGTCTTTGGGTCATAGTCTGGCTTCAGCTTCCCTGAGAGTTTACAAAAGCTACTTCTGAGGAAGTTCTGCTAAGCAGAAGGCTCACCTCAGGGCAGCTGGCAGGCCTGTGGTGTGGACTGGGTAAATGACGCCTGAAAGAAATGTGGTCAGAGGGAGTAAACTGTATTTTCTGATTCTCAAGAGCATGATGAAGCAAACTTCAGCTCTTAGGACTAGGTCAAAGTGGAGTACATCTGTGGGGTGTTATGAGTGTCCTTGTTGAGCCATGCAGCTGAGCTTAGATTGGAAAGCTGGGATGTAATCACACATGGTACAGACCACGTACTTTGGGCCAGACTCACCTGGGCATGCTGTTCCTCAGGTTAAAAAGACTATGGTACTAGCCCAGGTCTTGAGGAAAGCAACTTTCAACCTGTTTGTCAATTGAATCATGCTGAGATCTGCCCTCTGGTGCCTAGCTATCTTGAGATTTCTCTCTTGTGTTGAGCTGTTCTGGATTCTGTGCTTTCCATTTTATTGGCTACTAACTTGTTCTGGTGTAGCAATCCTTTGGTAGCCTCTAGAGGAAGTATGCTTGGAGGTAAAATTTTTGAGACCTTCCATATCTATCTTATTTGATTGATACTTTTAGAGTTTCAGGTGGGAGATAATTTTCCTTCAGAATTTTTCTTTAACCCACAGATGTGCAGTGTCTAGACCTTCAGAATTTTAAAGGTGTTTTTCCTTTTCAGTGTTGTGCTGAGAAATCCAAAGCAATTTTGATTTCTGCTCCATGTATATGACTTGAAAGTTTGTACAATTTCTTAATCCTCATAGTAATGAAATTTCACATTGATGTGCCTTGGTGTGGGTCTATTTTTAATCCATTGTTTTGGGCTTTTGGTGAGCCTTTTCAATGTGGTAACACATATCTGTCAGTTCTGGGAAACTTAGCATTCCTTGGTGAGTTCCTCTCCTCTGCTTCTTTCTTCCTGAAACTCATTTCTATGTTGAGTATTCAGTACTGGTTATCTAATTTTCTTACGCTGCCCTCCACCCCCATCTCTTTGTTTTTTAGCTCTTTAACTGAGTTTTCCAACTCTTCTTTGCTATTGTATTTTAAAATCTCAAGATGCTTTCTGATTTGTGAAAGTTCTTATTCCTAAGTAGTACTCTTATTTTATATTCTTACCTGTAAATTTGTTCTGTTACCATAGGGTATTCATTATAGTGTTTGTGCTTTTCCTTTTGAAATTGTTTTCCTGCAGCATCTGTTTCCTCCAGATTTGTTCTTTCCGTATTTATTTCTGTTTTCTGTTTTAGAGTTTTCCAGGACATCTGGTAATCCTCGGCTGTCTACTTATGGTTGCATGGGTTACGAAAAAGCTTGGAAAGCCTTGGACTTGTGGGAAGGGTTTGTCTTTAGGGTTATCTGGATGGGCTTATTTTGGGAGTTCGCTCCTCCACACGAATATTTTAGTTAGGTCAGATTCTTCAGAGAAGAGGCTTTCAATCTCCTTCTTGGAGAGATAGAGTCTGTCTTCCAGACAGCAACATTCAGCTGCTTCCTTGATCTTTTTCACTTAAGGTTTTTATATAGCCACCTAACAACTTTTAAAAGGCATCATTCCCTTATTTAGATTATTTAGATTATTCAAAATACAAAAAATTTTTTTGGTGGCTGGCCAATATGGGGATCTCAACCCTTTGACCTTGGTGTTATAACACCATGTTCTAAACAACTTTGCTAACCAGCCACCCCAAAATAAAATTGTCTAACAGGAGCTCGTCTCCTGTATTTTTCTTCTCTTTATCTTGTCGGAAGATAGCCATCTAAGCTTGCTCATTTTTCACTTTGATAACACACTTTATCCTTCTTGGTAGAATGACAGATGAACGATAATACATTTTGAGATCTAAAGCAGTGCAGATGTATGATCAGCTCATAAGTACATGTGCTCAGAAACATCCAACCAGTCATGTTTTTCACTCAGATTATCTTTATTTTTATTTATTTAATTTCTTTTCATGGCTGGTTGGTATGGGGATCCCCACATTCTAACCAACTGAGCTACTGGCTAGCCCCAGTTTATCTTTAAAATTCTTGTGAATCTTCCTCCAGAAATAAAGCAAATCTTAATACATTAAATGTGCATAGTATAAAACATTTTTATTGTGTTAAGATATATATAAAACAAAATTTGCCATTTTGGCTGTTTTTAAATGTACAATTTAGAGGCATTAATTAGATTCACAATGTTGTGCAATTATTACCTCTATTTCCAAAACTTTTTTATCACTCCAAACAGAAACTTCATAACCTTTAAGCAATAATCCCATTCATCCCTTCCTCCCAGCCCCAAGTACCTCTAATCTACTTTCTGTGTCTATGAATTTTCGTATTCTAGGTACTTCTTGTAAGTGGCATCATACAGTATTTGTCCTTTTGTGTCTGGCTTATTTCACTTAACATAATGTTTTCACGATTTATCCATTATTACACTTCTCGCTGTGTAAGAGAGACGAAAAAAGATTACTCAAAGCAACATGAATGCAATGAGAGCCTGAAGGGGCTGCATCTCAGCAACTCCTCTGTTAGAAGGAAGAGACTGGATAGCAGCCCCGAGTCAGTTTTTGCTTCAGTTTTTATTGAAAAGACAAGGAAATTACAGGAAAAGAACAGATGGTTAATCAATAATAGTAAGAACATACAGAAATTGGCTATGTAACAATCTTCATCCAAGCATGCATGGTTCAAAATAGTTTAAACAATATACCAACAAAAGAGTCATAAATCTAAGCTAAGAAACATGCAAAAGAAACAATAAGACAATCATGAAAGTGCCTGACTTCTTGAGAAACTTACAGAAATAGCTTAAAGCAAAATGTGGAAAAACCCCCATGTACTAACTAATGTAGCAAAACGTCCTTGGAAATCTTAACTCACAAGTTTTTCCATTTAAGCTTTGTTGTATTAAAGATTATTGCCCATAGAACAATCCCTGTTCTGTTTCAGTTGTCTTGTTCACATTAAAGGCTTTAAACCTGAGTTTCCTTCTTACAAAATCTTCCAATGAACCCATTATGTTAACTATCAGTGTATATAATCCGTCACCTACACATTGATTAGAATTGATTTGGTGGGCTCTTGCCCCCCGAGCTGTAAGCTCTTGCTTCCTGTCCCATATATGCATTACCTAAAAAACTCTATCTAATAATCAAATAGGAATCACAATTTCTAACCCTCTACAATACATGTTGTAGCATTTATCAGAATTTCATTCCTTTTTACAACTACATATTCCTTTTTATGTATATATCACATTTTGTTTATCTGCTGATGAACACTTGGGGTGTTTCTACCTTTTGGCTATTGTCAATAATGCTGCAATGAACACTGACATGTAAGTATGTGTGTGAATCCCTGTTTTTAAATTCTTTTGGGTATCTTTTAGTGGAATTGCTAGATCTTGTCATATTTTATGATTTTCCTTGTAATTTCTTCTTCGATCCAGTGTTTGGTTGTGTGTGTTGTTTAATTTCTAACTATTTATGAATTTTTCAGTTTTCCTTTTGGTACTGATATCTAGCTTCATTCCATTGTGATGAGAGAAGATACTTTAAATTTATTGAGAATTGGTTTGTGGCCAAACATGGTCTGTCATGGATATTGTTTCATACACACTTGAGAAAAATGTGTATTGTGCTATTGTTGGGTGTAGTGTTCTATAAATGTCTATTAGGTCTAGTAGTTTTATACTGTTAAGTTCTCTATTTCCTTACTGATCTTCTCTCTAGATGTTGTATCTATTTTGACAACCAAGTATTGAACTTTCCAACTACTATTTAAGAACTATTTCTTCTTTTAGTTCTGGTATATTTGGGTGGCTCTGTTGTTTGGTGATTATAATTGTTATATCTTCATGATAAATTGACTCTTTTATCAATACATATTGTTCTTCTTTGTTTCTTATAACAGTTTTTGGCTTACCGTCTATTTTGTCTGACACTAGTATAGCCATCCCTGCTCTCTTGGTACTATTTGCGTGGAATATCTTTTTTCATCCTTTCACTTTCAATATATTTGTGTTTTTGGA